TAATTTCTCGAAATTCCACGTTTCGCGCAATTAAACCTGTCTAATTATCTTTCGACAAAGATCGAGAGGTCGTTACCGGTCTTGACCGAGATCGATTCGATTCGATAACCAATCGTTGCCATAGTTGGGGTCACGAAAGCTGACCAACTTCATGTTGCAACTCTATCCTCGCAATTAACGGAATCGAAATTAACCGTTCGATGAAAATGCTTGTGGCAAGATTATGATAGAGGTTATGTTTTATTTTTTCAAATTTCAATAACTGTTTATTATTTAATCGATGAAAGTTGTTTGTTGTATCCTAATATATGATTTGTGATGTATATAATAATTAAGTATTATTATTGTTATTTGCGTGAAATGAAAATATATTATATTTGAATTTTATGATTTTAAAGAATATTATTATTTACGTATTATGTTTTGTTAATTTTATGATTTTAATAAAAATTAAATTTTATATAGGAATTGAAAATAATCGTTAAAAAATTTTGATTTGAAAAATTGGTTTATTCGTTACATAAGAGAGAGAAAGAAATAGAAAGGAATAACAATTATTGTTTTCTTTTTTTGCAGGTAATTAATAATACTGTTTTATGATTATTTATTTATCGAAGAAAGAATTGAAGATTAAAAAAGAGGACTAATTAAGTAGCAAAGGAAAAGGAAAATAAAAACATATATTAATTAGTAAAGATAATAAATTTCAATTATTATGGAATACATTATCTTTAAAAAATAATATGTAATAATAAAGAATGATGAAATCTTAAAACATTGATATATTCGATTGCAATCGCTTTCTTTTATTTTTAGAGGAAGTGTATTATATTCCTTGAGAAAAAAAGATATTCGTTGTAAGTTGATGTGAAATTGAAATAATGAAATGTGTAATTTAATTCTCATATATTGTGTATTAAAGTTCTTATAAATACACGGTGGAAGGATAAGTGTTTAGTAGTCGTAATGAAGTCTGAAGTTAGAAACAGTGTTTGAAATTCTTACTTCCTATTTTTATAAGAAAAAAAAGAAATACAATTAGATTGCACGATTAAATACAGGATTAAGGTAATAAAATGAAATTACTGTATAATTAATTAATTGTATAAAATATATTAAAGGTATTATAACGGATTGATTTTGATAATTAATTTGCTATTTATCATATCAGTATTGATTATCATTAATTTCAAATTTAACTTGCGGCAACATTTTTATTTGTTTCAGGAATCAATTAGAATTCGAAGAAATGCTATAAAATAATCACAATAGAATTTCATTTGTTGAAACGAAATTTCCATCGATATAATTAAGTGAAACTCGTACGTAGATTTCCTATCTTATTCTTATTGAATTTTTCCAGAAAACGTGACAGGTAGAAAGGAATTTTCCATGTATCCAACTTTTGAATAAAAATTCGATTTTACAAATTGTCATTAATATACATATTTTGGATTTCGTTACATTCTACAATTTTTTCTACTTATCAAATATTAATATCTACATTGGATACCTTTTTTAAATACCTTTTTCTACAATATCGAATGTAAATAAAAGTTGTAGGAAGAGTGAGATTCCTCTATCTCCGTAATACCGTACACTCTATTTTCATCTTGCTTCAACTAAGATAAATTCAACAAATCTCAATCGAAATTTTTCCATATCAACTTTCCATGTTCAAACGTTTGTTTTGACCTCCACGATCAATCCTTCAAAGATACCGTATGAAACACATTTTAGTATAATCCAAACGATAAGATGATCAAATATCCACTTATTCGGACCTCAGTTATTTGAACAAAAATTTAAAAGTAATGGATTCTTATTGTATGTACCTATCATAGTTATGTAAATTGCTCGTTCTTCGTCGGCTTTTACATGTATAAATAGAATTCTATTGTGATTTATGGTCTGCCTTAAGAAAAATGAATAAATTTCGAAGAGATGACAAAAATGTTACGTATTCGAGGCACGATGATAGAAAAACAACCAGTTTACAAGAAAGAAAGCGAGGATCCATCTCCCCTTTTATTCCTTTTTGCAACGATGGGAGCGGCAATTTTCTAGATGACCGACGGCAACCTCGAGGGCCCTCGATTGCGCCTCGGAAGATCATTGATCTTGGCCAAGAATCTTGCCGACCTCTTAATCATCGCCATCGTTAATCCGATCTTCGATGTGTCGTTAAAAAGAAGTGCTAACGGCGTGTCGCTTTTTCTCCTATCTTTTTACCTTGTTTTTATCCCCGGTTCCAAAATCTTTTTATTCCTTTCAGGATTCTCTTTGAGGATTTTGCGAGGATAGATTCGTTTTTTAATATTGCTATGAAATTAAAATTTGTTATCTCCTCTTCTCGTCGAAAAAATTTCAAATCTAATTGAAATTGTCGTCATTTGATGTATTCGATAGATTTAGTCTTCAAATTTAATATTTTGTCATCGGAAAATTATTGAAATTCAATGCGAAAATAACGTATTCACTAAAAATTGAAAAAAAATCCTGGATAGCGAATATCGATTCTTTGACGGAAAATAATTGTTGAATCGTAAAAATGCAACGAAATCCAAAACAAATTTGCATATACTTATGATAATATTGAACGTGTAAAAAAAAAGTCGAATATTTGGAAACTTTTTTGTATTTTCGAAGAAATTCATGACGCAATCGTACGCGTCATTCGCGTTGAAATAAAATTGGAACGTTGTAAAAAATTTTAAGTGTTAAAATTTTAAAGGTTAACCAATTCTTTTGATCGAAATTTCTAATTCTCCAAAAGTTTTAAGTGTTAAAATTTTATAGGTTAATCAATTCCCTTTGATCGAAATTTCTAATGATTCTCCATCAAATGATTCATTTGTAATAGTTTCACATGTTCGTTCGATAGAAATAAAACGCATCGAAAACAAATTCCGACTAGCATTGCTCCCGATCGGTATTGTCATGTCGAACAGTATCGACAGAGACACACGTTGCATCGTGTTTCACGTTTCCATGCCTTCATAATGTCTTCATCACGATTCAATGTTACGTTACTTCAAGCTAATAGCTTACTACTTATAACCCGATTGCTTCTAGAGAGACTTGCTTTGTAAATCGAAACTCTTTGCAACTGTTCGTGGTAATCGTTTTAGAATGGAAGCAGATCATTTAAATACAAGGTTAAGAGTCTCTGTTGAATCGATTGATCGAGACTAATTAACGAGTTCAATTTAAGAGTCAGTGCAATTAATTAGGAATGATAAACGCGTATAAGTTGTGAGTAGAAATTACGTTTGTGCATTATGTTTATGCAAATTTTATCAATGACCTAATCTATTGTAAATTTGATTTCTCTTTTGAAACGGATATCTATACTTTTCACATTGATAAATTAGAGATAAATATTTTTCATTATTAAGAAAATAATTATATAAATAATAATTAATGTTTTCATTATATTCAACCATTATCATTCCATTATGTCGTAAAATTATAAATATAAATTATAAATATTAATAAAGCTTTTTTTAGAGATAATAATGAAAAATATATAATTATAGAGTTGCGTAAATAGGATCAAGACTTCTTCATTCCTGGGAAGAAGAAATTTGATCTTGAATCATGCGTGTCAGAAGTTGCAATCAATTCCTTTCAATTTATATCTATCTATAAATATAAATTTTTTTTTTCCTTAAATAGATATTTCTTACGCATAATTTTAATATCCGCTTTCTCTATAATCGTGACATTACGATTTATATCATTTGACTCGTCTAATAAATTTAATTAAAAAGGAGAGAGAGAGAGAGAGAGAAGAAAAAAAGAAAATCATAGAGTCGAATTGTTGCATCGTTTTCTCTTTTTAATTTCTTTCAGATTGAAAGAGAGAAAGGATTATTAACGATTGAAAAATGAACGTGCAAAGATGTACAAATCTCGTGTTGAAAGTTTAATATCGAAACGTTACGTAAAAAGAAGGGAGGAAGAGGATATCTCAAGTACTTTCGACATTTATATTTTGCACTATTTTGACTTCCATGTTATTTGAACTCACGTGTGAAAATGATTGGGACGAGTTCGAAGACACGAAGATTACGAAAAACTAGGAAGAAGTGAAACTCGTTCGACTTTCATATTTACACCAGATTCGCGATTTTCAATAATCAAATCTGAAATATTTGACCTTTGATCATAAACCATAACACATGATTCTTATGAAGAGGAGAAAGTCTTCCCTAGAAATATCAACCAGATTCTTCCTGGTGAATGTCGATTAACTCGATTTTTTTCTTTTTCTTTTTTTTTTTTTTAAATTTATTTAACTCGATAATAAGTGATTAAGACCAGTACTGGTAACTGGAATGTGAACTTTCAAATTCCATCATCTTCATCTTTTATGGATTTAAAGAACAAAAAAGTGGAAGATTTAATTTCTCGTTTCTTCTTTGATGCGTTTCTTCTTTTCGAAGAGTTTTTTAGTCTTTCATGCTCAATGAAGATACATACTGCGATAACAACATTGTGTGCATTGTATCTTATTTTTTAAGAATTGGAAGAAATAGTTAAAATTATGTTTTCCAACAGTCTCTAAAAAATATATAATAGTAATAGTAATATAGTAGTAATTTATGATATAATTGAATACATGTAGATCGTAAAATGACTTGTTTAAAGTGTTGAATTGAAAATGATCTGTTAACAAGTTTACACCTCGTTTAAACCTGCGGCAATAAAGGCTGGAAATATGGTTGAATTACCTAAGCATCTTTAAGATTTCTGAAACAGTCGTAAAAGCGGTCGTAACTTTTATCTTTGGAAGAAAAACGAGGATGGTTTGAAAAATTACTGAACTGCCTGCACAAAAGATCATTTATCTTTATATATTTTGTAATAAACAACGATCTTCTATTAATTTTATTGAAATATCAATATTGCTTCGTTCCTTCTATTCTATTTATTCTTCTTACAATTATCTTCTTACAATTATTTTATATCAACGTAAATTCTATTTCTCGTTCCAGAAGGAGTGCAAACTGATTCTAGTCCAAGTGGAATCATCCATTATCCAAACAGGCATCGTATCTTCGCAATAAAGGTACGTTCTTTTCTTAATAATTTTTTTCTACTAGGATTATTACAATCGTTTATTCTTATATTTATTCGTTTGTGCTTCTATACAGGGTGTTAATGTATTGGAACAATTTTGAAAGATCGGTTTCGAACAAAGGTGAAAATTAATATGTAAAAATATCAATATTAAAATATATTTATTAATTTACAAGCAATTTCAATTTGCATACTCGCATTACAATTCTGATCTTGATAATCTTGAAAATAAGCATAGAAATCCACGGTTATAAGCAATTAAACAAAGACAAAAAAATACCAATTAAAGTATTAATTAATTTACAAACAATTTAAGTTTTGTAAAGATATGTGATCCAAGTTTCCAAATCGAAATTAGTATGCTAATTTAATATCAATTAGAACATATAATATTTAACAATGTTGAAGAAGCTGCTTAAAATTATATATCTTAGACATAATCTCTTGCATCAGATATGTATAAGTCTTGTGAAATGATAGAAAAAAGTAGAATGAGAGATAATTCATATTTTCAATGTAGGAATTCGCGTAGAAATTCTGGTTCTGATAAAAAAATACATATATAAGTGCAACTTAATTATGATTATTCTTCACTGTACAGTAATCTTTATAAAAAAAATCTAACTTTGCATAAATATTCACATTCTTATCTATCACTATCAGGCTTACTTTGCAAATAAGTATTCATCATCAGTTATGAAAACAAAAACATTGAATTAAATTAGTTCGCGAATAAAAACGTTCGTGTAAGAAGATAATAAGAAGCATAATCGTGAGTGAAGAAGAAGAAACACGGGATGCACTAAATTGCAATTAGTATGCTTCTCGACAACACCGTCCTCGTTCCAGTATCACTTACCTCATTATGCATCAACTCGTTAATTAAAATCCTGTTCCTGACACTGAAATCTTTTTCGACTTTCTTCTTCTTCTTCTTCTTCTTCTTCAATTTCCTTCTATTTCCAAAGCGAGCTCCTTGTATTTTATTTTATTTTTTTTTTTTCTTTCCTCCAATGTGAGAATAATTCTCCTTACGGTTGACGAGACGTGTGTGCAATATTAAAATCCAGAAATCAGGTTGCAATTGATTTTAATGATGCGTATCTAGATTGGGTTAATGAATAAATATGACATAATGAATAATTTCAACATTGAACTAAAGTGATTAAAGATAGGTGAAAATTGGAACGAAATTTGTATGAAAACGATACCTTGAATTCAAAAAAATTTTTGTTAAAGTTTTTTATCATTTGTTTTTATGCAGAATTTTTAATAATAATTAATTGGGTCGAAATCTAATTTTTAAATATGGAATACGGAAATTTTGCAAATTTCGAAACTTTCGAATTCTAAAATATCTATCTACTATTCAAAATTGAAAAGAAGAAGAGTCTAAAATGCGAATGTAATTAGCTGCTGTGTTGTTTCAATTCCGCTTTTTCTTGTACGCAATTTCAATTATCATATAAAAATAATCACATCTATTTTTATATCAATATGTAATATCAAGTGGAAAATATTTAAATAAGATTAGATAAAATAAGATTCCCCTATTCTCCTATTCTGACTCATATTTAATTTTTCTTTTCTTTTTTTTAAGTTTATTTTATCGAGAAGTTAAATCTTGATTTCTGAAATTTTTCAAATCTAATTTTATAATCAATAATAATGATAATCATTTATACAATAATTTATCCGATTGAAGCATTTCGTTATCCAATACCAATATTTTAAATTTCCAACAATTCTTTCGTCAAAACAAGTCCTTTCCAAGATCTTATTGGAAATCCGCTCATACATAATTTGAATTTTGCGCCATCTATCTCCAGAGAGCTCGAAGTGTTTTTTCTTCTTTGAAAACGTTTCTTAACATTTTATTCCAACAATTGATTCGATTGAATCACTGTATTAAATATTATTCACATCTCTGTGAAACAATTCTCGGAACATAGTGCATAGTGGATCGTCATTAGACGTTTAGATTTTATCTAGTAGATTCTATACGCATATATCTATGTATATATGCGATATTTATCGAATAAACAGTGAGCATTGTCGAAGAGTACGTTGACCGATCAACCGAGCAGACAGATGGCTCAACTTCTGCTCAGAAAGTTTATTCCAAGTTACCAACACTCTATCTAATAGAAAAAAGATTTTCTTAAGAACAATCTCATTCTATGATACATTTCGTATCAGTTTCATATCAAGATCGTTCGTGAGATTACAGGTTAGGGATGTATTAGTTTATAGATTAGAGATGAAATCGTAATATTTAAAAATAAATGTGAAAAATATTTTTATACATTTGTTTGATATTTGGATTTAAATCTGGATTTTATGTTTTTTTATTTTAATTCTTTATATTTTTGACAGAATTTATTGTTGGATATGTTTTTTGGCAAGTTGTGGAATATGTTGAATACTAATAATGGAATAAAATTCAAATGGATTGGAGATTTTATAATTTTATAATGTATTACACATAAATAATAATGATATAGGTATATTATTTTTTCTTTTTTTATTAATATTTAAGTATTGTAAGGTTAGATATAAAGTTTGACAGAAATAAATAGAAATAATTTTTAACTTATATATATGTATATATGTAATAAGAATTTTTATATATTTTGGGTATATAATGATTTTAGTTTTGTATATGAAGAAACAAAAACAAAATGTAATATATTTTATAATATATTGATTAAATAATTAAGAATTTAATAAACTTCAAAAAAATTTATAGTCTTTATATAGTAAATCTAAAATTCTTCAAATTTTAAATTTTAATCCAAGTTTTCGCAAATTTTATACTTAATTGATTTTAAATTAAAATCAATTCGATTATATAAAAGATTTCCAATCGTGATTAAATCAAATATTTTTTTTCATGTTTTTTCCTTCAATTTTACATTTCATCCATTTCAACTCTTAATATTGACTAGAAAGATCTCAGATCTAATTCGGTTCGCATTAACGAGAACACGCGGGAAATCCTTAATCGGATAACGCGTGGGAATAGAGACCGCCCGTGGTGATCCTTCGACTGCGAGCGGATCATGGAAACGCGGCTTTACGCCGCAATCAAGCGAAACAAGTGGAGCAGATGATATGTTCGAGGCAAGAAATATCGATATGATCGATATAGTATCGAAGACATTTATTATCTTTTTCTCTTTGTATTCTTGTCAGAATATCGATAATGTTAGAAAATTGAAGTTGACTTTTTTTGCTTCGATGATTTTCGAGGATATGATTTATTTTGTTGAGAAAAAGATAATAAATGTTTGTATTTATTGTGCATACAAAGTGAATCAAAAGACAATCATCTTGATATATTCGAAACTAAAAAATGAAATTGATTTTGAATAAAAAAAAAAATAATGCAATGAAATTCAAAGTACAAAAGAAAAATCGGATACGTAAAAAACTTTTTTCATCTTTTTATTCTTATTTTTTGTCTTGAATGTGTTAAGTTAGATTTTTCTAATATTATTGTTATTAATATGAATTTCGATTATAATATTTTAACAGAATCTAAATTATTTTATCTACTCAATATATTTCTAAATACTTATTCACGCGTTTTAAGTCCATGTACGAAAAGTTCGTTCACCCTTTAAAGAATCTGTATACCAGAATATCGTGCAGAAATAAGTACTATACAATTTGTAATAGTTACTTAATGAACTGTCTTTGTACGGTTATAAACGAAAGAACTAGTTTTTAAAACATAAATAGTGCTACACGCATCCGTTTCCTTTATGACCTCCCTGAAATAATTACCAAAGCATAAGTTCCTTTTAAGTGCATTCTTAATTATTGCAGAAGATGCCTACGTTCCTGAAATAAATCGCTGGAATAATTATCCATTACGTTATATTTCTTAAAGTAGTTTTACTAAACTACAAATTCAAATTTCATTTCAATTAAACAATTATAATTTAATATCGTGATACAAATAATTGAAAATAGATGAGTGAAATTGATCTTCACGTATTCTCTCCATTAAAAAAAAAAATAAATAAATAAATTATGTAAAATTATTAAATACTTTTTTGAATATTAATATTCTTAATAAATATTAATATTTCAACCAACTAATAAACAATAACATGAAAGAAATATAATAAAAATAATGAAATTCTATAAAGTTAACGTAGTTCCAGCACTATTTACGATGAGAATTGGAATGAAATGCGGTGACGCTGCAGGATGCGGGCGACAAGATGTGCAAGAAGAAGAGTAATCACAACGGTGGAAAAACATTGAAAAACCAAGCGATTCGTGTCGCTATCCGTTATAGCAGTCGGCCTTATTTCGAATCCACCCGTTATATGTGTAACACGCACCTGAGAAACGGTAAAATACTCGTCACAGACCTGCATTGTTCCATGAGCTAAAAACGACGAAAATCTAATCGACGAATGCCAATTGAACATCGTTATTTGAATTTTAATCAACCAACTAAATGAAGTTAAGAGGTTATGGTAATATAGTTGGACTTTGCTCGATTATTTTACAAATTATTTCTCGAATTATAGTTTTAATGATAGTGGAAAATTGTTTTTGATCAATTACAATCTTTTGAACATTGTTCCAAGTTTTTGATTTTTGAGAAGAAAAAACATGAATTTAAATTATAGAAGCTGTGGAAGCATAAGCGTATATTAAGCTTATTATAATCGAAATTTAATAATAAAATATTCGATCCAGTTAAAAATTCACTTCAAAAACTGATGAACTGAAGTAATTTCTAAATATGTATCAATGTTTAAAAAACGAAAGAAATAAAAGAATAAAGGAAATTTGTATGACTTTTGTTCGATTTTCAATTGCATATCCACAATCACGAAGATTTAACATTGTACAAAAGAGATTGAAGAAGAAACACGGTCACTAGCAAGAAGGGAAAAATAACACATTGGAAACATTATAGTGATCACGATGCGTGAAACCGCGAAATGGATTGCTGCCTTTCAGCCTAACCATTAATCGCTTAAACACGTCGACCGTGAATGTTACTCTGAATTTATATTATGCTATATAATTGTCGGATATCCGAACAAAACCGATCCTAATAACATTATTGTTTCGATGAAATTATAATCTAAATGAAAATAATAAATTAATTAATAATTCTTTATTTAAATACCAATATCTTAAGTTAGTTCTTGATATTCATACGATATGAATAAATCAGATAATTGGATTTATCATAAAATTTTTAATTTATAAAAATATATTAAATTGAATAGTGAATTTGTAATTGTAAACTATGAAAAGAATAGAACAACGATTTGATGACGAATATAATATAGTGGAAGAACGAGAAAAAAGATTTCTGTTCTTCATAATGTCTATTTCATGTGTTGTCATAATCATTTAAACGTTGTTAAAGCTCATTTTGCGCCAAGAATTTCATTGCTTTTATGATGAATCATTAAATTACTCTTATTTCATTCTATATTAACCGTTATTCGCCGCAAAAGTTTATAATAAAATACTAAATGACCCACAAAGAGAATATCCCTAGGCATAATAGGTTGTATTTGATCTATTATGTTATCTATTACACACTAGTTGAAACATGTATTATTTATTCGCACACATTTATTTAATATACGAAAAATCATTTGTCCATTAAAAAATTTAAAATTATTTTTATTACTGATAATAAAATTAATTATTAAATCATTCAATAAATTTTAAATTCTAAATTCTACTAATAATTTTAATAAATATTAATAAAATAAAAAAATCGAAGAATTTTATTAATGAACGAGTTAATATAATCAATGTGATATCATTCAGATGATATAAATACTTGATTCGCAAGTTTAATTAGATAACTGTATTAAAAACAAGAATTTTTATTTTAGTGAAATCCATTTAAGAATTAGAGTGCGAAGGAAAAAAGTGTTTTCAAACGGTAACTTCACAGTTCTGTTATCATTATATAAATAATGGATCAACAAGTATGAAACTCTTCATATCATCATATAAAAAAGTGATAAAATATTTCAAACTTTTTTAAAAATTTTAATGAAACTAAATTTAAATATAAAATAAAAAAAATAGAAAAAATTGAAAATAAATTTTCAAAGTTAGGTTATGATCATTGGAAAATAGTAACACGGAGGTAAATTCAAAATTTTCTTCATAACATATTTCAAAATATAAAATAAAAAGGATAAAAAAGATTGAGAATAAGTTTTTAAAATTATGATTAGAGTATCGAGAAATAGTAATAGAAACAAATTTAAGATTTCTCTCGTAATATACACAGATAATCACGATATAAATTATGTTTGATCCTTTAATACGGTAAAACCGAAGGATGGCTCGTAAATCATAAGAATTCGAGGAAGAAGGACGTCGAAGAGAAGATAAACAAGTCGAGAAATCCGTAATCGAGAAGGAAGCAAACGTGTTTAGTAATAATATAATAATGTGATGTGCTTGTGGCATAATGCCAAGCTACGAGAATGTGGACAGAAAAAAGAAGACAAGCTGCCGTTTCTGTTTTACCATGTACACACTGCGACAGAGGTTAAGTTAGGTTAGTACGTACATGATCGTTGAATCGTCAGTTTGTTTGTTCAGCTTCTAACGAAGAGAGGATTAAACGCTTTGCTGTTTGCACTTTATTGTACTTGAACGTTGTATGAAGTATATACATAATGGGTTTATTCTTGTTGATTTTTGATGTTACATGTTGGCTGAATAATTTAACTTTGTTATATTACAAATGAATGATGTAAGTGTGATAGATTTTTTTGATTTTAGTTCAATCAACAAGTTTACACTTATTGATTTTTTTATATTATTTGCTGACTAAATAATTAAAATTATTTTTATTAACCAAACATCATATAGTATAAGAGTGATGAGTTTACTTATTCTTTGATTTTATTTTTACTTATTGACAAATATAATATATGGAATTATTTTATATTATTTATAATATACTTTTTTATTTTATTTATTAACAATTTCATTTTTATTTGATATTTTACTCGTTAAATAATATTAGTTTTAGTTTTGTCTTTTATGGTTAGAAAATGTTTCTCCGTATCCGAGATAAAATAAACCAACAAGCAAACGAAAAGTTGCAATTTCAAAAAAAGATTCGAAATTTCGAAACAATGAGCAATCAAAAATCAATCGAATAGTTTGCACAAGTGGAATTGCACATTGGAATTATATATCATTGACAAGCTTGCGGAAGTGAAGCTTCAATGTTTCTCTGATCGACTCGATTGCACGAAGTGAAGCAGATTGAATCAAAAGCAATGGAATGAAACGAAGAAGGTTCGACAGATAATATTTATACAGCTATTATTTTTAATCACAAAAATTAATTTTTTCCTTATATTTTTAATTCTCTTCTTTAAACATTTTATATATTATTTTAAAAAAAATTTTTTTATTTATCATTGAATATCATGTTTCAAGGATGAATCTTGCAAAATAAAATTACTTTACATCGCTGCTTTTAAGGGATTCAATTATCTAATATCTTTCTTCGATTATTTGTACCGGGCGCAAAAACTACCCGGAAGACGGGATGAAACGAGGTATTCGTTACTCGCGTCTCTATTTGCAATTACACGCTCATCATGTACCATAGAATGACTTGCCGATATTGCAAATAGTTATTCAATGAAAGGGAATGGAATGAGAATTACTCTCTCCGGGATAGGAAAATGATTAAATTGATGAAAAAGGAAAACAAACGAATTAAAATCGTGACAATTCTCCATGCTTTCGTAATTATAACAATTTTCAAGATTCAAGTGAATCATTAAAGTATTTTTATTCGTAAAAAATATTTGACATTGTCTTATTCAATTTTTTAAATTATAATTAATTAACTATGCTAATGATCAATATGGAAAAATTATGATAATATATATTTGATATTGACTTCTGCAATCAATTAATTATGCTAATGTTAATATTATGGTAAAATTATGATATATGTAATATCTGTTTAGTATTTACTTTACTTCTATTTAATTTAAGAAAATACTATTAATCAGTTATGTTAACAAATTGGAGATCGGTGATGCAACGTATGCATCATGAGGATTTTTTATTCTTATATTTCTTATAGCAATTGATGTGTACAGTTGCTTTATGAATTATTCCAAAAAACATGAAAAATAATTTTTTTTTCCAATATAAATATCATTATCAATGTGCATATCTTATTTTAGATTTCATTGCATTTTTATTTTTATCGAAAATCAATATTCGCCATCCGAATTTTAATGATCCCGAATGTGTTAATGTTTAATCTGATGATAGTAAAATTAAAAGAAATCTTAGATGTATAATTTATATATAATAAATTATTGCAAAAATTAAGATTAATGTTTCGATACTATTATTGAAAATAGAGATATTTCAGTATTAGATTAAAAGATGAACATTAGAGATTATAATATTAAAATTTTTTTGTCGATTTCAGTACAAAGAAACTGAAGTGTTGGACATCGATGCGCTTAACAACACGAAAAGAGCGGATCGAAGCGTTTTGTTCTTCAATCGCGTACCGAAAGTGGGTTCTCAAACCTTTATGGAATTATTGAGAAGGTTATCCCTGAGGAATGGTTTCTCGTTCAACAGAGACCGTGTACAAAGAGTCGAAACAATACGACTTGCGCCTATTGAACAGGTATGATAAATTATCATAAAATATTAATATTATTTACAAAATATTTAATATCATATTTAATCTAATATTTATAAAATTGTTTACAATTGAAAGATTTTGTATTACTTATATATTTATATATTTTTAGCTTCAACTTGCAACGATGGTTAGCAGTTATTCAGAGCCATCCGTTTATATAAAGCACGTGTGTTTTACAAACTTTACAGAGTAAGTATTTTAAAAAATTAAATGACTTTTATGTTATAATTAAATAATTATAATTTCAAATAATATGACAATAACGAAGTAGGTAATATAAAAATTGAATTTATGGAATATTTATGGAGTATTGTATTGAAATTATATTCCTATATCGTACGATCGAAAGTTTAGAATTTATTTTGTACATTGTTGAATATAGAAAAGTATAGTTATTGAAAAAAATCAAAAGATCGAAAATAAAAATCAATAAAAATCAAAAAATCGAATCTCAAAATTGTGCATTTATGGATATAAATCGTCGATGTAATTTAATCCTTTTGTTAAGTTCTAGAAAAATATAACTACTAAAAGAAAAATTAAAATAGATATAAATCTTAAATAAAAGTTAAGTTAAAAATCAAATTATGCACTTATAGAATAGAGATATTGAAATTTAACTCTAATATGTCTTCATCATAATATGTTAAATTTTCGCTCATTTCCTTTTTATTCATCAAATATAGAAAATAATATAATCAATAAATTTTTTATCTTTATATCATGACATGGCATTAAAGAGAATTCCATGCAATTATCCAATTTTTAATATAATTAAAAGGAACGTGAGCCAGATTCCCACGAGACATCTGATGCAAGACTGTTTTTCCCTGCAGATTCAACCTGCCTCAGCCAATTTACATCAACATAGTCCGGGATCCTGTTGAGAGAGTGATATCCTGGTACTATTACGTGCGAGCACCTTGGTATTACGTGGAGAGAAAGCAAATATTTCCAGACTTACCACTGCCGGATCCGAACTGGCTGAAGAAGGACTTCGAGTCCTGTGTACTTAAGGCGGACCGTGAATGCAGATACCTCGAGGGTGAAATTCACGAGGGAATCGGTGATCATCGCAGGCAAACGCTTTTTTTCTGCGGCCACAGCGAGAAATGCACGTAGGTCCTCTCGAGAAATTCCACTGTTCCCTTCCTGTGTATACAGAGCTGTACGGATGGATGGAAGAAATTATACGTTTATAAATGGTTTCCCTAATGGAAATTTTGTCCTGGAATGAATTATATTTTTAATGTAGTTAAATTGTGACCCATGAAGGATTCCATTAATAAATTAATATATATAATTAGTAAAAATGTTTCACTAAAAATTATAATTCTATATTATATTTTATCTAATTATTTTCTGCTTATGAAAAATTTGATGGATTTCAGAGAAATATCTAAATCAGAATCTAATTTAGAATCTATCTTCCAAAGATGTTAACTTAAAAGTATATATATAATTAAATAAGTAATGCAATTCTAATAATATAATCTTTTAAAAAATTATAATTATAAAATAGTACAATTAGTAAATAATAGAATTTTAATAATCCTCTATACATATGAAAAAAATTGATTCTATTCTTTTCAAAATCATAATACATTAATTTAAAAAAAAAAATCCTAAAAATTCTTTCAATCCATTATACATTATTCACGCCTTCATCGTTCCACTAATTCCACTTTATCTTTATCTTTCCTCACTCAATCACCTGCACACTTGTCAATTGTTTGTTTGTTTGAAGCCCGTTCAACACGATGGGTGCCCTGGAACGAGCAAAAATGGCAGTAGAGAAACACTACGCAGTGGTTGGTGTACTCGAGGACGTGAATAGCACTCTCACGGTATTGGAAAATTACATACCCCGATTTTTCCGAGGCGCCACTGATGTCTACTATGGTAATTCTTTCGTTCCTTTATTTGCATATAACTGTAAATCTCAGTCAAGCGATAATTATCACAGAACTAAGCGTGCTTTATATACGTCAAGTTAAAGGAAGATAATTTTATATTTTATATTATAAAATCATCTCATTGTACAATATCTTTTTCTTAATTAAGCAAATTCTTTTTTGATTTTTGACCTTATTATAATATTTCAATATATAATATAAAAATAATTGTGATGGATAAAAGTATGAATTCTCATAAATATCAGCAGTCTAGTAATTAATTAATGACGAAATAATTTTTACTTTTTAGACGAGGTGAATGCGTTTACCAGAATCAACCGGAATTTCTTCAAACCACCTGTCAGCGAAGAAGTGAAAGACATGGTGCGGAGCAATTTCACCAGAGAAATCGAATTTTATCAATTTTGCAGACAACGATTGTACAAACAGTTGAGGGCGTTGAAATTGACCAAAACTACACCTTTGTTGGAAAGCAATAGTTTGTAGAAGTATATATGAATAACTTGTCGAATTTTCTTCTCACGAGAACGTCGATTAAAAAAAAAAGAAAACATGTATTATCGATATTGAAAACGATAGATAATTCGTTGAATTTTTTAATTTAAAAAAAATGTTAAAAACTAAATTTGTATCAATTAGAAATAATTCGTCGAATTATCTTTCGATACACATCGACATAGGAAGAATCTCAAAAATATTTAAACGTCGAGAAACTTTGGCTTTACTTACTGATAGAAAATAGAAAAAGAAGAAAAAAAGAAAAAGAAAATATCAGAGTAGACGAAATTTTAGATGCCCATCAAAGAAACCATTTACATGGTAAAAAAAAATTAGAAACAATTAACGATTTGCGAGAATCATGGAAGATTATCACAATTTATAATTATAAAATTAATTAGATTGATCAAAATGTGATGAATTAACGAATGTTCCAATAAGCAATATCTTTTGTGATTCACGAACGAATGGAGTGCTTTCGATTCACAAATGGGACGCTTCAATCTGAGTGCCTATTTTCTTATTTTGTGATCTTTTCCCCTATATGTAAGGCGATGTGATCGTCGAATAAAATCGTTTGAACTGTAATATTTACGAAGAGATGCGTGTGACATCAAGAATATATTTATTTATTATTGTAATACAAGATGTCATCGATGTTTTAGACGT